AGCAACAGGATAGAAGTGTATGTGGGACAACAAAGAGATCAACTCAAATGGAATGAAAATCCCACATAGGTGAATAGTAGGAAATGAAGTTAGAAGAGCAATGTAGAGCCAAGGCCAGATTATGCATATCTAGTAGAAAAGTCTCTTCTTTCCTCCTCCGGGGTCTTCCATTTCTTCCTCTCTAATAGTGCTTTAACTCAATTTAAATGTAATCAGAAAACCTAGATAGAAATACCTGCTTTTGATCTTAGTAGTTGTATGACTCTGGGTAAGTCATCTAATGTCTCTGAGCTTTAGTTGTCTCATCTGTCAAATGGAGGTAAGAGTTCTGTGAAGTGGTGGCAAGACTTCTACAGAGTAATTATGAAGAAAACGCTGTGGAAACTCTCCAGTCCTATAAAATGAATTTTAGCAATAATAATAATGACAATGAACATTCACAAATCTCCTGTAACTTAAAAAAGCTTTTATTTGACTCCATTGTCCTTTTTCAGTGCCTTCTTTAGAATCCCAGAAATGCGATTGACTAATGTGGAAATGTTTAATATGATCGTACGTGTGTAGCCTTTATCAGATTGCATGCCTTCTTGGTGAGGGAGGGGGAAAGGAAGGGGAAAATTTTAGAATTCAAAATCTTATAAAAGTGAATGTTGAAAGCTAAAAATAAATAATCAATTTTAAAGAATAAATAAATAAATAAAGGGGCAGGGGTGGATGGGGAGTGGGTGGAGAATCCCAGAAGTTTAAAACTGGAAATGTATTGTTTTTCCCTTCCTATCAGGGTCAAACTTTTCAAACTAATCACTGATTCCAACTATGCTAAGTCCTGGCTTTGCAAAGGGTCCAGAGGCTCAAGTGGTTGATTGATTAATTAATCACCCCATCCTTCTTGAAACTTTCCTCCACACCTTCCACAGAACTGCATTCTTCTGATTCTCTCCTTGCTTCTCCAGCTGTTTTTCTTCTCTGTCCCCTTTGCTTGTTCCTCTTCCTCCTTTTCTTGCCTCTAAGCAAAGACATTCCCCAAGTTTCAGTCCCTTCCCTTTGTGCTTCTTGCTATTGTCACCCTGAGATCTCATGGTTTTAACTCCCATATCTATACTAACGAAGTCATGTGGGAAAATAAATTTATATTTCTGCTAAAAAAAAAACCCCAACTTATTGTGTGTGCGTGTGTGTGTGTGTGTCTGTGTGTCTGTGTGTTCTACTGAAATGTTTAAACGTCTTATTTGCTGTGGAAAGGGGAGTGCTCCTTTTGAAAGTGTTTTGTCAGTTACATCAGGCTATAAAAAGTTTTGGAGGTGACCACCTGCGTAGTGTTTAATGAGTAAACTTAAGAATTGTTTTTAAATTTAGATATATCACAGCCACAGCTTCAAAGTTCAAAGAACTAATAAGTGCTTAGCAAATGTTTGCTGAATTATATCGGAAGGGGAAGGGGAGGTGTTCTATATCTCCTACAATGATGAGCAGTATTGGTTTTATAGTAGGCATTTAACATATACTTATTGATTAATGTTATGGTTTAGTATATGCACTACACCATGTTGACTGGCCTTCACAGCTCCTCATACAAATCAGGATAATAGACAATCTGGCATGAATTGGAAAAAAAAGTGGGCCTCAAGAGGTCAGGGTCATGAGTTGAATTCCAGCTCCTTTTACTCTGTTCCATGATCAGCAACTGCCAACCTCACACCAGCCAAGCCACCAGTTTGATTGGTCACAAGATGAGCCAGACGAGAGATCTGAGATGATTGTACATATTTATCCTCATTCCTGGGGAAAAGATCCCAACTGCATGTTTTATTTTTGGTGTATCAAGATGATGGTCATCATTTAAATGACAAATTTAAAAACCAGAATTTGCCAATATAGATGAGAGATCGCTATTTTAATTCCCTGAGAAATAATTTTAAAGGAGGGGAAATTAAAATAGAATAAAGTATAACACTGAATGGATTGACAAAAGGCTATCCTAGTAGTTACTCATAATTGCCATTAGTAATGTTAATCTTACATAACCTTCAATATAGATTCACTCTCAATTTCCTCATCCCCCTTCCCACTGGAACCCTTTGGGCTCTGAAAGAAGAGCTTTTGCCTTATCTCCCCCAGAATCAGGATTCTCCATCACCTCCCAGTCATTTCCAAACCATGCTGCCTCTTGCTTAACCTCTACCCGACTTCTAGCTCCCTCTTATACATGGTGTTTTCCTCCATTAAAATGTAAGATTATCAGAGGCAATAATTGTCTTGTTTTCTTGTATTTGTAGTAAATGCCTTTCTATATATTTACTCTTAGCTTTTAACATCAAAGGGCTTGCTTTCTTGCTTTCTGGTTTTTGTATACTCAGCGCACAGGACCTGGCACATAGCAAGCAATTAATACATGCTTTATCATTTGTTCATTCTTGGGGTATTAAAGCAAGCTTAACTGGCTTGCTTTTTTGGCTTACTCTCCTGCTTCTATCTGGAGACTGAAGTCTCTCAAATTCCATTGTTACAAGTTGAACCAGGAAGACCCTTTAAATACACCCAAATTAACAGGAAGAAAGAATATTCTGACATCCCCAACTACATGGAAATATGTCATTCAAGTAGAAAAAAGACCACTGAAGACTCTTCATAAAAAGTATGGGATACTAGAAGGAGAATTTGGGCCCTGAACGTATACTAGGAGCCTCGATGCCTGGGTTCTGGTCTGGGTTCTGTCACTCAATGGCCAGGACATCTAGGATAACTTACAACTTCTGGCTGACTCTATTTCCTCATCTTGAAATGGGGACAATACCTGTTTTAACTATCTCACATTACTGCAAGAATCAAATGAAATTTATAGGGCCATATTATTATTCTGATTTTGTAAGTGAAAACTCTGAACCTCAGAGAGGTGACATAACACAAGGACATATAACTTGTAAGAATTAGAGCTGAGGTTTGAACCTAGATTTTCTGTTATTAAGTAGAATGTTCTTTCCACTATGCAATAGCACATCTGAGTAATTCACCAGTTATTAACAATAACAATATTTTGCAATGATATTTTATGTGAGGATGGTGCTAGACCTCTGATTTCATTGGTGTAGGCTATTTCCAATGAGGTAACATCCTCTTACCAACGCAGATAGGAACCATCTTTGAAAGTCAGTCTTGAAGTTAGCTAAGGCATTGAGAAGGTAGGTGACTACCTCAGGGACATACAGTTAGTATGTGTTAAAGGAAAAGTTTAAAGAAGCCAGGTCTTCCTGACTCTAAGACCAATTCTCTACAATGCCACGCTGTCTCTACATACCATATTATACTTTATCATTACAGGCAAATCGGGCAACCTAGTTTCAAATCCTGGCTCAGACACTTAATGGTTATGTGACCTCTGATATGTTAATTCACCTTGATGAAGCTTAATTTCCTCATTTACAAAACCAGGATAATAATACTGCCCTGTCTATCCCACAGAGCTATTATGAGATTCAATGAGATAATGGTTGTGAAAGTATTTTATAACAACAAAGTACAGTAATAGGGATGTGTGGGGTGTGCACACACTGTTCCCTTTTTTGAGGACAAGATGAAGGAAATGGGGAAATTTGGGCCAGGTAATAAGAAGAACCTCATAACAATAAGGGTTATAAAAGTTTGAAAGAAATTAACCAAAGATTAAGGAACTGCCTTCCTCAGGTTCTAGGGTCATAAATCTGGAGCTAGAAGATCCATTATAGGTCATCTCATCCAGGCCCCTATTTTACAGATGGGGAAAACAAGGCCTGAGCAGCGAAGTGATTCGTCACATAGGTGCTAAGCAGGAGAGTGTGATTTGAATCCGGGTCTTCTGTTTTCTAAAACCAGAGCACTTTCTACTCTGTCATAGCTGTGTCTTGAATATTTATCAGAAAAAGGCAATTATAAATTGTGGAATGGTTTTGGAATAATCTTTCCTGGAAGAAAGTTGTTATTCAGTCATTGCAGTCACATCTGACTCTTCATGATCCCATGTGGGGTTTTCTTGGTAAAGACACCAGAACGGTTTGCCATTTCCTTCTCCAGTTCATTAGGAGAAAACTGAGGCCAACAGGATAATGGGACTTGCCCAGGGTCACACAGCTAGTAAGTGTCTGAGGCAGGATTTGAACTCAGGCCTGGCACTCTCTATCTACCGCAGCGTCCAGCTGCCCCTCGAAATACTATTAGCTTCCATCTTTGTATCGCCAGTGCCATGCACATAGTAAGCTATTAAAGAATTTTTGTTGAATTGAAATAAATTTCCAAGACTCAGTAGCAAGCAAGAGAATACACTAAAATTGCTTCTCAATCCAAAAATACTGAAGACTCAATGAAATATCTAAATTTGTTTTGTTTTTTTTGCTTTTTTAGGCAATTGGGGTTAAGTGACTTGCCCAGGGTCACACAGCTAGTAAGTGTCAAGTGTTTGGTCTGAGACCGGATTTGAACTCAGGTCCTCCTGACTTCAGGGCTGGTGCTCTATCCACTGCACCACCTAGCTGCCCCAAAATATCTAAGTTTTTCACTGTGGACCATACTAACACCCTCCACAGCCTTGGCACAAAGACTGGGTAGTTCAGGAAAGCAGGGACCAGGGGCTATAAAGAAGGGACTAGGATCTAGAAGGAGGACCTATGGGAAAGTTGAGAAGCACTGTTAAGGGCTTTTGTTATTATTGTTGTTATTGTTTGTTTTTTAAATCTGTCTTGAGAAGGACCGACTTTAGGTAGTAAAAGTTTTATAGACCAACACAAATGTGCCATAGACATACGCCCTAGAGAATGACTTTTTCTTATGTATTTTGGGGGCTGGTTTGTTTTAGCTAGCTAAAAGTCTCTGTGATTCTATTCCTTACCAGAATAATAACCTAATTCAGTCACCTGTGGATTTTCCCCTGATGCTCTAAGGTCTCCTGGTGTTTTGGGGGTTGAAGGGGAGAGTTTTGTTTTTGAAAACTCATTGAAGCTTCTGAACTAGGTTCAGGAAGATGATCTCACCTGGTTGCCTCCACTCTTGGGATTCACAAATATGAGCAGTGGTTTCATGAGTGGAGAGGAGATGGGTTTTATCACAAATGGCCGGCCTTTATTTTCTGGCTGAAATAAGAAAGCACCAGTAATTAAGGCTATAAAACCTAAAAAGTTATGTCTTCACTTAAAATGGTATACACACAAGGTCAAGGAAAATTAAAGTAAGGAATATCTCTCTCTCTCTCTCTCTCTCTCTCTCTCTCTCTCTCTCTCTCTCTCTCTCTCTCTCTCTTTCTCTCTCTCTCTCTCTCTCTCTCTCTCTCTCTCTCTCTCTCTCTCTCTCTCTCTCTCTCTCTCTCTCTCTCTCTCTCTCTCTCTCTCTCTCTCTCTCTCTCCCCTAACCCACCCCCCTTCCTGATTAAACAGGCTCATCAATGACAGGGCATTTTGGATTTAAAGCCATTGGAGAGATGACAGAGAAATGGATTATCGCCTCTGCCTGAATTCTCAAGCAGGTTCTCCCCCAGGTCCTCAGACTGAACCAGTTATTGTCTGCCCCCTCCAACATTTCATAACCCCACTTACTTCAGCTCCTCTTTTGCTGGCTTTCCTTTTAAAGCTTGTCCTCTTCTTCTTCCGATTTGAAGCCTTTAATGAATTCTGTAGAAAAAAAAGACATCGCTGGCCTCAGAGGTGGGCTCCAAGCAGATGTTCCCCCATGCATATTCCTGTGGAGGACAGTAAGCAGCACATGCTTTTCAACTGCATGCTACTCATGCTTTGACATTTCCAAGCCACTGTTCATGGATAAGCCACAGACAGAAACCAGTAGAGTGCTTTGGAGTCAAAGACTTCCCCTGCCACACCGAAAGGCAGGGAAATGGAAACCCCAGATGCTCTCATGGACTCACATGACAACACATGTTATACCTGCCAACCCTCCCAGTACAGATGGGAGACTCCCATATTCTCTGTGGGACTCCAGTCTCCCGCCCAACCAAAGTCGTCTCCTGGTATGGAGACCTCCTGTGTGAAAAATGTAAAAAAAAACATGATAAAAGGTGACATTTTTCATGTTTTTTTTTTCTAAGACCTGCTTTAGTGGTGGTAATAAAGCGACTCAGTCAGAGGATCCTGGAGCCATGCTGGAGATTTCTGCCCCAAAATGGAGGAGAGGCTTCTCTCTCTCTCTCTCTCTCTCTCTCTCTCTCTCTCTCTCTCTCTCTCTCTCTTTCTTTCTCTCTCTTTTTTGACAGAATAGAACCAACCAGCCTAGCATCAGTAATGGTTTCCTTTTCAATAGCTAAAAGACTCACCTTGAGTTAATGGGCTCAGAGATTTAGAGCTAGCAGGCTCCTTATGAGGTCATCTAGTCCTATCCCCTCATTTTACAGATGAAGGAACTGAGGCCCAGTGATGTTAAGTAACTCACTCAAGGTCACGCAAGCAGAGCCAGTTATTTATTCCAGGAGGACAAGAAGCACTGGGTGTGATTCCTATGCCTCCAGAACTGTTGGTATGAAGGCTATTTAATTCTTCTGAATTTTTGGCTTTTCCATAGCAACTAGCCTACAGGTTCCCTAAGCCTCTTGAAATGTATTTTCACAGAGCCCATCTGGTTTGATTGTTTAAAAATCTATTTGCCTTCTCTCAGTCTTTTCCTAAGGATCACTTAGACTGACATTCTGTGATTACTTCAACTAGGATTTTTTCTACTCTTAAATTTTCATGCAAGTAATAGAATGGAATTTTAGCAAGCTTTGAGAATATTTTTCAAAATATAATTAAGTCTCAATAATTCAGACTAATTCAAACTGAATTAGTGAAACATTTATCACTGAAAAAACTGCTAAGTCCCTCGAAGTCAGGGACCAAATTATGTATCTCTTTTGTACTTTCACAAGGCCTTGCATAACTCATATTTTTATTTCCATCTAAGTGCCAAGTTCAACAAATTAAATTTAAAGTCTGAATGACAGACTCTTTTAAAACATTGTAGAGTTAATACTTTTAAATTTATACAATCATATGACCCAAGTTAAAGAAGTGTTGCTAAACAGGTTCTGCCTTATTGATTAAATAGGATAACTTGAAAATAGCATCTAAGTTCACATGTATGCAAATGGAACTCCTAAAGTGTTTAATCTTACATTCTTACTTACAATATTCATGTTTTTAAAAAATCTTTTTTTTTCCAAAGAGAGGGTAAAAATAAATCACCTTTCTTCCAAATTATCCCAAATTTCAAATTACTAGTTCTGAATTAATGAAGTTTTAATGGACGTGGCAGTTTATCTAAATATTCCTGAGTCATAAAATTCTAGTTCTGAAAAAACTCTTGCTAGGTCCTCAAATGTTCTAAAATTCTCTATTCTCAGCAGACTAACAGAAAGTGGGAGAGTGGCAGTGTTTCCTTCTGACCATATTGGCACAACAGTATTTGGGTATGTGTGACCTCTGATGCTCCCCCTTTCTGCACTCTGGACTGTGTCTTCTTGGGGAGATAGGTCCCCCATCTGTCTCCTCTACTTCTTCACTACTGCATAGCCCTGAGCTGTGTGTGCCTATCACTAGGGCTCCCTGTGGTAAAACTTCCGGCTCACCACATATAGCCTCCTATATGTTTTAAAAACGGCTCGCCATATTTTGTCCTCTTTCTGTTCTGTTTAAAACACATGTGAAGAGGTTTAGCCCACTTAAAAGTCCTGTCAGCAAAGGGACCTGAGTCGGAAATATGCTAAATCTATGAGGCTAGCAAAAACAATCCCCACCAACTGAAGCATGAAAAGCCATGTACCAACCACAAGTTGGACACATGGTAGTTACTGAGAGGCAGCTTAGCAAAAGGAAAGACCACTGGACTCAGAATCAGGAAAGACGCAGATTCAAATCCTGGCTTTGATGCTTAGAAGTTTTGTAAGCTTACGTAAGTCACTTAGCATCTAAGTCAAACATTTAAGTCAAAGTTTCCTCATCTGTAAAGTGGGGATAATAATACTTGCAATACTTACCTCACAAGGCTGTTGCAGGAAGTGTTTTGAAAACCTTTAAGTGCAATGTAAGTGTGAATTATTATTGTTATTTCCTAACTACAGAAAGAATCATCACTAGCAGGGAAACTCTCACATATTAACCATCTTCCTTCTTCCAGTTATCAACTGATTCAGAGTGACCATAAGAAAAAGCAGGATATACAAAAAGTGCTGAGGGAGACACTGTAGGAAAACCACATCTCTCTGGTGACTACAGATCCAGGCCCAGAAAAGAGTCCTGGCTAAAAGATTGGGGCAAACAGACAAAGAAAGCTTCATGTATGTAGGGAAAGGGAGTAAGATGGGAGTTAAACTTTATCCTTTTCTAATGAAAACTCACAGAAGAATGTTTTGTTTTGAATTTAGGAGAGATGAAAAAAATAATGACCCTTTTTAGGGCCAATTGCACAAAGGCAAATATCAGGTATTGATTCCTGGCAGGCAACTGGATGCTTTGATATGAATTCTGAAAGAGTTTCCATCAACCCTCAAAAAAGTCAAATGATAGTAAGAAAATGGTTCATAGAGCAGACCTGTAATTGAACTGGTATGGGAACTCCCAAGGAGGAAACTCCCTCTATCAGTGCCTAGGTGCCTAGGCTTTTTAATTCTTCAAATTTTGTTCACAAATCTTTTTTATTTTTCCATACATCTTATATTCTTCCATATTGATATTTTAATAGTTTTCTTTAAAAGAATTTTCTCTACCACTTACCTAAAGAGAACTTCATCACTTGGCCCATATTTTATAACAATTGCTATTAGATAAGAGCTATTTGAATTTCAAGTTGTCAGGAACTAATAACCATTCTCAAGAGGACATACTTTAATAATTTGACCCTATTATGTGACAGAAAGTTCATATGCTCTTCATTTGCTTCTAATATTCTGCTCATTTCCACTTCTCCTCCTCGTCAAGAAACTGAGGAAAAGTACAATTTTTCCTCATCCTTCATTGTTTTTCTATACTAAATATAATAGACTGAGTACCTCTCCAAATAACTAATTCCATTTTAGCCAACTCTCTTTATATGGGTAATATCATCATCCCTTCCATGTTGAGGCCAATCTAGCACTCACATTTTAGACCTGCCAAAGGCCATAGAGATGCTCTGACACCACTTTTTGGAACTCTGGGCAAGTGCTAGGAGGGCTTGTTGTATCATCTTTCAACTGCACTTTAATACATTCCCTGAGAGTAGGTATATCTATCTATCTATCTATCCATGTATCTATCTATCCATGCATCTATCTATCTATCTATCTATCTATCTATCTATCTATCTATCCATCCATCTATCCATCTATCTATCCATCCATCCATCTATCTATCCATCTATCCACTATCTATCCATCCATCCATCCATCTATCCATCTATCCATGTATCTATTAATTTATCTACTTATCTATTCATCCATTTATCTATCTATCTATCTATCTATCTATCTATCTATCTATCTATCTATCTATCATCTTAACAGTATATCCAGCAGAGCAGCACAGCACTATAAGCTTGAGTCTTAGGATCAAACAATTAAGAAGCTCCTGACAAACATCATGCTTGTGTTTTTATATGTTTAGGACAAAGAAAGACAGTGTGCCTTAATGGCTGGAGAGATGTCTGGGGAGTCAAGGAGGCCTGAGTTCCAGTCCTCCCTCTGACAAACCCTGGCTGTGTGACCTGCGTGTATCATTAAACACTCACTTCTCAAGGCAAATCTTTAAAACTATAAATTGCAAGTGCCAACCTGCACTGATAGAAGGAGTTTCCTCCCTTGGGAGTTCCCATACCAGTTCAATTACAGGTCTAGTTCCTATGCCCTACCCCTACAATAACAAAACAAGACAATTCAATTTATTAATCATACATCAAGCGGGTCCAAAATATAGGGCAAAGTGGCAGAGGCAGGGAGGAGATGGGAGGGGGTGCCAAATAAGAAGTGTGCTGTATTTTATTCTTTGCTTTACATTCACTTTATTTTGACCTAATGATTCCTATATAGTCACAACTTTTAATTTGTGCTTAGCCAAAATCCAACTAAGGACACTATGTTAATTCTGCTTCAACCACTGCCTCCTCTTAGAGGAGCCATAAGACAGGAAGAACATTGGCTTTTGAGTCAGAGGAGCTGGGCTTAACTACTTCCTTGGTTACATACAACCTGTGTAACCTTGGACAAGTCTCTTACCCTCTTTGGGCCTCAGATGATACAGCTGTAGACTACAGGGCCTCTGAGAGCCCTTCCAGAACTAAATCAGTGAACTTCTTCAATGTTCTTGACAATCTTTTCTTTCTGGAACAGTCTAAGATCATTTTTGGCATAAAGTAAAGCCTCAGTTTTAGAGCAAAACTTCCTTTGTGTTTTTTCCTTCTGAAGTAGGTCTCTCCTTCTGAGCCTTCTCTATGGATCAGATATCTCATCCTGAGCTGAAAAAAGTATCTCCTCCTTTTCTGTGCTGTCTGTTTTACCCTAGAAGCCTGCACAGATATTACTGTGGCTCAACTTATTTCAGCTGAGAGCCATGGGTCAAAAACCAAGTGTCAACCAATGTCCAAGGCTCTGAGCCAAAGAAGTCCAATGCCAGGTCTCATGCCCCTGCCCCTCACACCCACAGATAAAGATATATCTATATGCAGATACAGATACATTTTCTGTCTGTTCTGTTGGACCACAAGGGAACTTTACATGATTATGAGACTTAGCTATCAGTCCACCAGTCATCTCTACCTACAGCTATAAGTTAAATCACTGAATCTTGTTCAAATCTTTGTTAATGAATACTGATTCTCTTATTGTTATCATTGTTTTCTATTAGGGAATAAATGACAAAATTATTCCCTCCAAGATACATTTCTGATTACATCACTCCTTTGCTCAAGAACTTTCAAGGGCTTCCTATTGCTTCCAGGATAAAATACCAATTCTTCAGATTGGCATTAAATATTCTACCTCCAGCCAACCTTTCCAGGGTTGTTTTGCATTATTTTCCTTCAGATGCTTTGTGTTCCAGCTGAATTTGTCTACTTTCCGTTCCCCACACAGGTTGTTGTCCATGCCAGGAATCTGTTTCCTCTCAGCCTTCACCTCTTACATCCCTCTTTTCATACAAGGCTCAGTTCAGATACCACTTTATGCTGGAAGCTAATGAATCTCCTAGTTTTTGCTGTTCCCTAGATTGGGAGCTTTCTGATAGGTGCTGTTTCGCATTTTGTCTTTGTATCCCCAGAGGCTTGCATATAATAAACACTTTATAAACATTTGTTGGCTAACTGGTGATCTACTGAAAGAGGCTGAGAAAGAATGGTCAAATAGGTAAAAGGAATACCAATAATAATGTGATGAAAAGCCAGGACTGAGAGGCTAGGCAGCATATCAACAGTGTCAAATAATGCAGAGAAGTCAAGAAGGATAAAGACTGAGAAATGGTCATGGGATCTGGTAGTTAATAAAGCTCTGGCAAGAGCTACCACATAGATACCATAGAACATAGGGTACCCAACAGTTAATTATCTCTAGATCCTGCTATATGACCAGCCGGCCTTCTTTGCAGCCAAGCATCTATTGGATGACATCCTTTAGTCTGTTTTACCTGAGTAATTCTTAATTGGCAATACACTGTGGCCTTTTCCTATCTACCACATTCCTCTCTAATGACCTTTGGATCATCTGAAATTTTCTCTTACATATTGCTCATAGATATTACCTGCCAGAATGAAATACATTTCTTAAAATATATAATCCAGCAACACTTAACTATAGTATCCTAGCATCCGAGAAGAAGTTTACACAACCTCTTTTGCTCAAACACAATCAGCTGACTGCCTGATTTTTGAGAACATGAAGCTAGCTGCATAGGATAGGGCACTGAAGAAGAAAGAGTCCACCCAACTGCCATGTCTGTTCAAAGGCACACTACACAACGCTAGCCAACATAGGCACACATGCTTAATAGGGGGCTCAAAACAGCAGTGCTCTGAGATAACAACTCTGCACAGCACTGATGGTGCAATGGCTAGAGTGCTGGGTCTGGAGTCAGGAAGCTTCATCTCAGTGAGTTCAAATCTGGTCTCAGACACCGGGCAAGTCACTTAGCCCTGTTAGGTTTCCTCATTTGTAAAATGAGCTGGAGAAGAAAATTGCAAATCTCACCAGTACTTTTGCCAAGAAAACCTCAAATGGGGTCACAAAGATTCGGACACAACTGAAACAACTGAACAACAAAATACAACCCTGCCTGGATCCCCATTTGCTTCACATAAACCTAACCACAATAAAATGTCCTTTTCCCACTAAAGATTATTGCAGAGTTGAAGCCTCCATATTACACCTAACAGGGCTGTGATGGAGAGAGTTTTTCTTTCACAGCCTCTGAAATAGGTTTGGAAGCTTTCCCACAACATTCCATTCCTTATGACCCAAAATGCAATGGAGATAATGGCACAATAAAGAGATTGCTTTGGCAATGATCAAGTCTATTTGACCATTCATAGAATTTTGCTCTGAGTAGGCTTTACCTACTAAGAAGCAGCAAACCCAAATCCTTCCCTCCACACAGGGAAGGAAGCTCAGAAGTAGAGACCACCTTAACTATGCAGTGGGATCTCAACAGCATACCCTCATTCTGACTCCTTAACAGCCAAGAGTTGAGAACGATGGATGTTGTATAATTACACCAGCACTCACACGTGCTGACTTACCTGTACCCATCACTGTCTCTCAGTGAGACCCAGGACTAAATCCCACACACCTAGAGAGGCACAGCCAGTATGTGAACAGGGAGGAGATTCCCCTAATTGGGATTCTCGATTTTGTTAGAATGGGGATTTTTTTTTTTGCATGACAGAGTCCTCCAGAACATCATGATGAGAGAGTATAATGTGGCCATGGCAGCCAAGCATGGGGGCATGTGGATATATATAAGCATGGGGCATCTGAACCCAAAGGCTAGTTGAGAAAAGCAGCAAAAAGCAGCAGTTACTGTGTTCTGAGTTTGCCTGTAAGCATAAGTATCTAACAGTGACTAGGCAGTTACCTGAGGTTTCTTCACCTTAATGATCCAGGTAGGTGGGACAATGACAGCAGCATGAGCCCCAAGGGAACATGGCTCCTCAATGTGGTGCATCATGAAGCAGGTAACCTTGTTGTGAAACTGGGGAGAGAAAACAGAGTTGCAAATGACGGGGCAACCCAGAGCAAAAAGATCAGGCCATATTTGGGTGTGGCTACTCTAAGCAGATCTCTGCCGAAGCACAGGTTCGTAACCTCGGAGTCATGGACCCAGCAGGTACAAGTCCTCTAAAAGCTCTAGATGCCAGTTCTCATTCTACTATACCAGAGGGGTCAAACTCACTGCCCTTAAGTGCCAGCCTAGATCAGATCAAAATAGAATTGGGAAATATTCAACAAAATAGATAAAAAATACAATGCAACATAGATAATGTTAATTTGCGATTTTCTAAGTCAAAATTCATATCAAATTGCTTACCTTCTCAAGGAGAGGGGAAAGGAGAAAGGGAAGGAGAAAATTTGGCAATCAAAATTTTAAAAAGCGAATGTTAAAAAATGTTTTTACTTGTAATTGGAAAAAATTCAAATAAATAAATAAAAATTAAAATTATTCAAATAAATTAAGTTAAATTAAATTAAAATAAGTCAATATGTAGCCCATACAGATCTGTTTCTATTTGAGTTTGACACCACTGTTCTACAGCACACTCTTAGGATGACGGTTAAGGTATCTTCCAACTCTAATATTTTATGATTTTGGCCACTAGGAGATAGAATAAATAGAGAGAGCTAGACAAATTCAAAAAAGAATTTAAAGGGCTTCCTAGATATATATTCTTGGACAAGTCATTTAACCTATTAAGTTTCCTTATCTGTAAAATGGGTACAATAAAAGTACCAACCTGGTAGATTGTTGTGAAGGTCAAATAAGGTAACACATAAAGCACATAAAGCATAAGCAAAACTTAAATCACTAAATATTTAAATGCTAGGTGGAAGCAGCAGTAGTAACAGTATCCATAGCAATAGCAGCAGCAGCAGCAATAGCAATAGTAGTAGCAGTAGCAGTAGCAGTAGTAGTAGTAGCAGTAGTAGTAGTAGTAATAGCATTAGCAGTAGTAGTAGTAATAGTATACTCCAGGAGACTATCCAATAGCGAATTTACCATTCAGTTACTGCCTATTCAGCTAAACCATCTAGTTTAGCTATGGTTATTCATTTGCTTAAAATTAGTTACTCATTTTGGGGCTAGGAAAGGTATGAAAGGCAATAGAGAACAAGCTAGAAGTAGAGCAACTGAATTCTTTTCCAGACATGTAAATCTCATCCAAGCAGCCCCCTGAATTCTAGGGTTTGGAAGAGTACAAAATGACTAGCATCCCCCTCCTTATAGAGTTATTCCTTTACCAGGAAAGAGAATAAGGACAGCTTTGCTGCCTTCTTTTTGCTGGAAGGCAACAAAACTTGAACTTTTAGTGTGGGAAGAATGATACTCTACAAACAGTACCTGGCATTTCTAAATAGACTAGAAGGAGGAGACCTGGTGTCTATGTCCAGTGCTGCCACTGATTCATTGTATGAGCTTCCAGGCAACTTACACAATCTGCTTCTCCTTGTGTATCCTCACAAAATGGGGGTGATCCTGTGTAGCCCACTTTGAGTTTGTACAGGTGAACTTCACTTTACATCGTAATTTCACATTTTCACAGAATCAGAGATTTAAAGTTAGAAGGTACCCAAGGAGTCACGCAGTCAAACGCCCTTCATTTTATAAGTGAGGAAACTAAAGCCCAGGATCATGGAGGTGACAAGTGGCAAGTCTAGGATTCAAACCCAGGGCCACCGATGCTAAATTCAGTGCCCTTTCCTTTGGGCCGCAATGGTGGCCCAGTTTAATTCTATTTACCAGTTGTTTTGCATTATAATGGTGGAGGAGATTGGGCTCTGGACCTATGGACCCTGTATCTAGAATCAGGAAGTTGTTATTCCCTAGATTCAGTTGTGGAAGTTCTTCATGACCCCATTTAGGGTTTTCTCGGCAAAGATACTCATTTCCTTCTCCAGCTCATTTTACAGATAAGGAAATTGAGGCAAACAGGGTTAAATGACTTCCCAGGGTCACACAATTAGAAAGTGTCTGAGGCCAAATTTGAACTAAGTCTTCTGACTCCACGCCCAGCACTCTATCCACTGTACCACCTAGTTACCCAGAATCAGGAAGACATGGGTTCAAATCCCATCCTATGAACTCACTAGCTATGTGACTCTGAGCGAGTCACTTAAGCTCTTTTTTCATTCATTTTTCCCATCTGTAAAATTAGAGGCTTCAATAGCCTCTAAGGTCTATTCCAGCTATGATCCTATATGATGATTTTATAGAGATTTTGTCTGGGCCACAGTTTCCTCATCTGTAAAAAGACTAGATGACCTCTAAGGTCTCTTCCAACTGTCAACTGCTGATGTTGAAAAATGACAATGATCTTCATTTCTGATTGATCTTTAATGGATGGCAGCTGTTTAACATTTAACACGTAATTCTGTCTTCTAGCTGTTTAAGCGACTGGCTAGGTCACTTGGTCAGATCCTGTTGATACTAATAACAGACTCTGGAGTTGATCCTCATGAGTAATTATCAGAATCAGCATCAGGATTCAGGTGCTTAACAAATGTTTTTGGAATGAATAATACATAAGTAGAAGGGGAAAAAAAGCTTTTCCACCATATCAAATGGTACCTAAAGACATAGGACATATAACCACTAGGGGAGAGAGAACAATATTGTATGTGACATAATTTTCTTGGTATAACATGGGAGACTTGATCACCAGCTATGTATTTGCTTACAGGTCAGTTAAGAAGAAAACAGGAGGGGGCAGCTAGGTGGCACAGTGGATACAGCTCCAGCCTTGGAGTCTGGAGGATGCAAGTTCAAATCTGCCTCAGACACATGACACTTACTAGCTGTGTGACTCTGGGCAAGTCACTTAACCCGACTGCCTCACCAAAAAGGCAAAAAAAAAAAAAAAGAAGAAGAAGAAGAAAACAGGAAGGGTTAAATGAAGAGGTTAGCCATTGGAAGGAGCTCGTGCTCACCCTCACTGGATTAGCATTGAGACATGAGGCGGCATGGGACAATGAAAAGAACACAGAAAGACCTGAAATCATAGGACCTAAGTTCAAAACCTACCAGTGTGACGTTGGGCATGTCACCTAATATCTCCAGGCCTCAGTTTCCTCATCTGTAATATAAGGAGATTGGACTAGCTGCCCTTTTTAGTTCCCTTGTAGCTCTCCCTCTACGTTGATCCTATGAAATGAGCCTCCTGAGTAAGTGCTGTCACGCACCCCCCCACACACACACCTTGAGTCCCTGACACTTACCGCCTGCTTACACCAAGAACAGCTGATGGCCACAATCTCTTTACTGTGAAAGGAGAACTTCTGCTGGAACCCCTAGGAAGTCAGAAGGAAAAGGAGGTTTCTATAAAGGTCACTTTTTTTTTTTGCCTCTGTATAATTCACTCATTCATTCATTCATTCATTCAGTAAGCATTTATCAATCACCAATGGAATGCTAGTTGATGAGAATACGAAGACATAAATAACACAGTCCCTGTCCTCTGAGAACTTATATTCTTTGTGTACACAGAAAAATCAATACAAATTATATGCAATTTAAATGCAAAATAAGTAGCGAAGTAGCACAACAAGGCAACTAGGTGGTGTACTGTATGAGTGCTGGACCTGGAGTCATGAAGACCTGAGTTCAAATCTAGCTTCAGATACTTATTAGCTGGGTGACCATGGGCAAGTGTCTTAACTTCTGTTTGCCTCAGTTTCCTCTCAACCGCATGACAGCAATAATAATAGCACCTCCCTCACAGAGTTGCTGTGAAAATAAAGCACTTAAGTACAATGCCTAGTATATAACAGGAGCTACATAAATGTTTATGCCCTTCTCTCTTCCCCTTAAAAGGAGTGGGAAGGATCAGGAATGGCCTCATGCAGGAGGTAGCACTTGAGTTAGGCCCTGAAGGACACAAGGGCTATACTGCTACATGTCACCATATGTCTAAGCCAACATGGACTAAAGATCCTGTACCGTACCACATACTGCATTATCGACTTTCACCTCTTTCAGGGATTTTTTCAATGGTATGTGTCTCCACTGAACAGGACAGTAGAAGGGTAGCTGACAACCGAATCACTTATATCACTAACAGCTCTTCAAATCCCTATCACTACAATCTATTTTTCAATTAAATCAGGTTCCATGGTGTTGATTTTAGAGAATTTTATCATGCAAATGAACATTGGCATTGGGGTCATGGATTTTTTAATCAATCACATAATAATGGTTTTCCATATAACCTCAGTAATATCTTAAGTCCCAGAGACAGAAAAAACCTCATAGTATGAGACTCAATTCCTGGAAGGTTGTCTTTGAAGAATGTAGGAGTACGGTTGTCAGTTCGAATGCTTTTCTTAGCTCCCTCTGATGTGTGCCCTCTAAACGATCCCTTTTCTATTATTTATTTTTCATCTGCACAACAGATGACCTTGCTGAGAGAGTCACAGGCTCCTTAAGTAAAAATATTCCTCTGGAGAGGATGGAGGAAGTGATTGGCTTCTTTGGCTTCCTCTGCCAAACTCACACCAGAAGGAGAAACGATGACGGAAAAGGTTTCTTTCTTTCCTAACTCTTCCTCTCCTCAGCCTTTTGCCCTGACTAAGAAAACAAAAGATGAAACCAAATTAGGGCCTTGCAAGGTCGTTGGAAGGAAACAATGGGGCCAAGAGGTATGGGCCAGAACTACTAGATGAGTGACTCCTAATGTGAGAAACGATTTCAAGGCCTGTGGTCCAGGCATGAAAAAAATGACGGATGACATAATGGACCTTTTCAGACTTTGTGTTCTTTTACCTCTCAGCAACACTGGACTCTATTGACAACACCCTCCATCTTTGGATTCTTTCATACTATGACTTTTAAGTTGATGCATTATCTTGGTTCTTCTACTTCTACAACTTCTTATCTTCCCTCCCATTTCTCTCTACCCCCCACCTCCCATTACTCTCCCTTTGAGATTTAATCCACTCCCACATCTTCAGCTGTAACTTTCATACAGATTACTACTAAATCCACATCTCTAGACCCTGCTGCAAATGCCTGTTTGGTATTTCCACTCATATGTCCCACCATCATAATAAACTCATTGTATTTTAAAAATAGACTCATCATCTTTCCCTCAAAACTGGTTCTGCCCCTTCATTCTCCTATTTTCATCAATACATCATTTCCCTTGGCTTCCAGGCTTAAAATCTTTAGGCTTAAATGCCTTCCTGCTCTTGATTTCCAATATCCAATCAGTCATGATAATCTATCTCTACTCCATCAGTTCTCCTTTTTTCACTGTTCCCATCCTAGTTCAGGCTACCATTACTTCCCACTTCATCAGTTGCAATAATTTCCCATTCCTCCAGCCTCCAGTCTCTCTTCTTTTCCCCTAATCCATTTTACCATAACTTTGTCAGTTTAAGTAACTTTCATCATGCCACTCCCCTACCTAAGAACATTTAATGAATCCCCATTGACTAAGGATAAAGCCCAAACTCCATGAGCCTGGTTTTCCAGGCTTTCTGTAACCTGGCTCCAAGCTTCCTTCCCATCTTTTACCCCCTCTATTCTCCTACATGAGTCCTCTGCTGCAGCCAGATTGATCTCTCATTCTTAACATATTTTATACTTTCCTTCCTCTCATGCCTTTAGGGAAACTAAGGTTTCCCCACTGCCACCACTCCAGGCCCTACTCATGATTCACTCTGCTTCTCTTCACCTGTTGAATCCAAGCTATCCCTTAAGATCCAGCTCAAGTCTCACCTATTATGCAAAGTCTTATATAATCATCATTGCCAGCTGTGTTCTCTTCTTCCTCTGAAATGAGCACATATTGCCAGCACTTATCACTTACTTCTCAGTGTTACTTATATTTATGTTTTACTCCTCAATTAGATTTTAAGCTCTTTGAGTGTTCTTTTCTTACCCTTTCTGCAACCCTACAAGGAGAAAGCCTAGTATTCTGGACACGGTATGTGAAATGGCAACTGTAGAGAGTAGTGGCAAAGGAATAGTTAGAGGAAGAAGAAACCACCCAATAAAGAAGTTCCTGGCCCCAGATTTTTAAAGATAAGAGCAGCAATAGGATGGCCCTGGAGCTGGAGAAGCAACAAAGAATATAGGCAATATTAGGAGGAATAAACCTAGACCTTGGCCTCCATTGCTATTGTGAATTTTATTTTAATCTAATGGAAAGAAGATAGATTATCTAGAAACCCCAAATGCAATTCCCCTTTGAGAGGAGCCTCAACCACAAGGTGATATTATAAGTCTGGAGGACCTAGGGAGAGGTCGGAATTACCAGAGGATAAGAGATGCCACTCTGTATTAATTTTGAGTTCATTTTCCTTCCAAAAAAAAAAAGCTTCAAGGGAAGGAGGCTTATTAAAAAGAAATAGTTGGGGCAGCTAGGTGGCACAGTGGATAGAGTACCGGCCCTGAAGTCAGGAGGACCTGAGTTCAAATCTGGCCTTAGACTAAACACTTAACACTTACTAGCTGTGTGACCCTGGGCAAGTCACTTAACCCCAATTGCCTAAAAAAAAAAAAAGAGGATAGTTGTTGGCTATTATGGGTTCAGGTGCAATTCTTTGTTTTTCTTTTTTTTTGTCTTGTGAAATAAAGGCAGTCCTGTAGTCTGAAATGCATAGTTATTCTGAGTATCTGTATTGGGACATGAGGCCAGTTTATGTTTTCTTCAGAGACCTAGACATGAACCAAATTCTGATATTCTTAGAAAAACTCTATGTGGGAGCACAAGCCAAGGAGTGGCTTACGGGAAGTCCCACCCCACCCAAGACTACCCCTGCTCTATATAGATGCAGAGCCTGGTGTTTGGGGCCACAGGTTATACAATCAAGAGATATTTGTTGCCCGATATAAAAATCCTGAGTCCTTAGTCACGTTACCTGAAAATTTGTCTGATTTCCTTCAAGAAGGTAGATTGATAGGGCAGATCCAAGATGGCAGAGCAGAGAAAGCACTCAGTTACCCTCTCCCAACATCTTTAAAATAATGCCTCAGTTGAATTCTGGAGTGGCAGAGCTAACAAAAGGTCAGAGGGAGACATTTTCCCCCCCGAGACAACTTAGGAGGTTGGAAAGAGAAATCTGGGTCATGAGGTTGGAGGTGGCCCAGTTTACCTGGATGAAACACGAGTGGTAGGCCTAGGTGACGGCAACAGAAGCATCAGCAGCTTCAGGAGCCCTCAAGCCAGAAATGATAAGGGGACTTAGCAAGTAGTGAGAAAGAGATTACAGGGCAACTCCTATCAGCACTGGACACAGGACCAGATGCTTTTTGGTAAATTCATTCCTTATATCCACTTCTGGATCATAGTTCAAGGGTGGAAAGGAGCATTTTCAGTCAAGAGGGTGTGGGAACCCTGAGGAGCATTATCTCTTTTGGTCACAAGGGATCAGGAACCCTAAAGAACAGTAACCCTTTTAGTCCCAAAACACCAAAGCAAAACCAAAAGCTTGAGACAGCACCTCCCCCACATTAAGAACAGAGCTCAACTTTAACATAAAGTTCAAAATCAATAAATAACAAGTGAAAAATGAGCAAACAACCAAAAAAAAAAAAAGAACCTGACCATAAAAAGCTATTATGGTGGCAAGAAAAATCAAGATAAACCCAGAAGACAATGACGTAAAGCAAAGACTCAAAGAAAAAATGTGAAATGGAAATAAGTTCAACAAGAATTCCTAGAAGAACTAAAAAAATTATATTCAAAGTTAAATAAGTGGTAAAGGAAAAATAGATAAAGAAATGAGGGCAAAGGAAGAAAATTATAAAAAGAAAATTAGCAGCTTGGTAAAAAGGGACAAAAATGTTGAAGAAAATAGCACCTTAAAAAAAACAGAATTGGCCATGTGTGGAAAAAAAGGTACAAAAATTCACTAAAGAAAATAACTCTTTAAAAAGCAGAATTATCCAAATGGAAAAAGAGGTACAAAACCTCACTGAAGAAACTAATTCCTTAAAAATGCTTGAAATCATTATTGATTAAAGAAATGCAAAATAAAAACAGCTCTGAGTTACCACCCCACACCTATCATATTGGCTAATATAGGAGAAAAAGAAAGTGAAAAATGTTGGAGGGAATCAGGGAAAATTGAAATACTGGAGTTGTGAACTGATTCAGCCATTCTATAGAGCAGTTTGGAACTATACCCAAAGCGCTATAAAACCATGCATACCCTTTGACCCAGCAAGATCACTACTAGGTCCATAACCAAGAGAGATTTAAAAAAATCAGGAAAAAGAACTTCTATATACTAAAATATTTATAGCAGTTCTTTCAGTGTTAGCAAAGAATTGGAAATTAAAGGGA